TACTGCCGTTTTGCTCTTTTCCCGCCGCCCTCCCGGCAGTTTGCACGAAGATGTATGATCCGTTGGCTTAAGAGGGCAGTATACCCTGTTTCCCTTCCCCACCACCACCTCGAAGAGGCAGAACTCAAATGGATGCTCCCTCACCCCCTTCCTCCTTGCAAAGACGTTTCAGCCGCAATTGGCCCAATCCTTCGATCTCCGATCTCCGCAAGGGAGCGAAAGTCTGTGGAATGGGCTAGACCACCAATGTCTCAGGGAACGGGAGAAGATAACGAGAAATCGCCTCTTATTTTTAGCTGTTATGCTAAATGTGCTTAAGTCTTCGACTTGGAGGATAACATACCCACTTTATTCACGGGACTGGTCACAACGTCATTTTTGCTTGAGGATAATAATTCAAATATTATAGACTGCTTTCCCCTTCCCTCCCCTGTCTACTAAATGGAAGGTTCCCTCCAGAAGATGCGCATGCGCCGAAACGTATTCTCGCGCTGGGTTGTCGGACCCGCCTCTTCTCCGCCCCTCCTCTTTCCGAAATCTTGTTTCCTGAACCAGGTAGTCTTCTGCCTGGTTTCCATAGCCAGGGATGGATTTCAGAGCACCATCTAGTCGTACTCTGGACGCGTCCTTAATTCGTGGCTATTTTTTCTAATTTTTTCTCCTGATGAATATTTATTGCAATGAATGATTATCCTCATCCTGTTGGTATTAAAGTTAAGGAGAGATCTGAAAATTACATGATTCTATTCCAATGATTTACACTCAAAATGCACTTTTTAACTGAACGATTATCAAGACCCTGGATAATCCCAAAACCTATAAATTAGTAGTCATTTCTACTTGTGTATAAAACTGAGATTTAGACGATGGACAATTTTTTTTGGACTTCAAACACAATAAAGATATAGGGATGACGACAAAATTATTAAACTTCACCAAAATACTTACGTTACCATACCTAGGTTCTTCACAGGTGCCAAATATATTGGTGAGCTTCGTGAATTTGCTAGGTGGGTGATTAAACCATACTGACTAAGCAGTAAGTAAAGGAAAATGATGGCAGAAGATAAAATACAGTTCTTCCCTCCACCCCCCTCCTTTTAGAATATAGTTGTGATTATTTATCTTTCTGTCCTCATCTATAAAATGAGGACATAGGAAGGGACCTAACATTTTTCAAGCATTTCTTGCAGACCTCATTACATAATCAAGTGGATAATACCTCTAGAGTGTCCCATCTATAAAAAAGTGTGTATACTCGAATCTACTTCTGCGTGATGCCTTTACAGTGATCACTTTCATTATCTACAGATTGCAAGTTGCCCTTCCTTTCGGAGGTAAAAACTGATTTGAGAATGAGAAGAGGAAGATAAAGCAACATGAGGCAGAAAAGTTTTTGCAGTGAAGGTGCAAGAAAACTAGGGACCAGCAATTAGTGTAATGGTTATGTTGCTGGACTACTATGTAGTTGACTGCGGTTCAAGTCCTGGACCTGGCTTAGACTCTCTCCAGGTGTGTGTACATGCATGCCCGAGATCCCGAAAGGAGAACGGAGGAGAAGGGATTGCAGTGTGGCCATCCCCCTGGGGGGTGATTTCTTGCTTTCTGTCTCTCTGTCTGTCTCTGTCTTTCTGGTGAGCAACATGCCCTATAGCTAAAAGCTCTCCCCCCCCCCAAAAAAAAATACATAAAATAAAATAAAAAAGAAAACTAAAGCAGCTGAAAAAAATGGAATGTTCGGGTCTTAATAATTATCTGTTGAACACTTGTAATGTGCTATGTCCACTCCTCAGGAAAAGTAGTACAAAGTCAGCTACTGAAAAAAGCATAATGTGTTTGTTTTTCTGGAGAGCATGCAAAAAGGAGACAGAAAAGGAAAGAGAAAGCACCCCTGTGGGAAATGGCCATGCTGTAATTTCTTCTCCATTTCTTCTTTTGGAATTGTGGGCATTCACGCACACTTAACCAGTGTATTTTTCAAGCCACTGAATCCAGGACTCAAACCACACTTGTTGGCCATGTGAGATCCATTTTGCCATAGCCACCATGCCACTGACTCAGCCAAGATGTGCTTTGATATAATGTTTTCATTAGCAGAGACACACATACTCCCCTTTTTTGGGAAGATGTTTGTGGAATATAATGCTACAAATAGAGAATAATCAATGAAAGCACTTCAAATTACTGTGTGTGTGGGATCAGTTGGAGCTGGAAAGTGGGAGTCAACTTCTAGTCATAAAATTAGAAAAATGCTGAGCATCTGGATAAAGGACACATACGAGGGAAATGCTTTTCAGTGTTCATATTATCTGTACCAAAGCAAATGAATTTTCAAAGTGTCTTATTAAAACTTGGAGGGATTATTTTTTAAACTTTCCTTATGTGTTAGCAATATTAAACGAGTTCATATTCATTATAACTATCGTTAAAGAAAAAATTAGTCTAAACCTTGTTAAAATGGTACGGAAGATTTCATTAAGGACTATTTTGATAGATATCAAGAATATCACAGTAAGGGAGAGAGAGCAGGTTTAACTCAGAATATTGCAAGGACAAATGAAGATTGGAAAATTATTAAGAGGAGATATCAAAAAAAAAAAAAAAAACAAGAGATATCAAGGTTAAGGGGATTCTAGCTAACCCTATTTAACAGAACTTGTAATGAAGGCAGGCCAGAGTGATCAGATAATAAGAACGGGGTATTCTCTTTATACTGACTAAGCAAAATCCTTGCCACAGCTGAATTAGGAAAGCTGACAGCAGGACCCAAGGACAAGACCTAGTTGAGAAGAGAGCTCAGTCTTTATCACTTAAGATACCTAAAACATCACGAGTCTTCTCATTAAAGGACTAGTTTTGTGTTATTAATACAATAAATATAAAAGTATAATTAGCTATTGAAATATTAATATGTTTCTCAATACTGAATTCTTCAACTCTCAAGGATTTCAGGAATAATCATGGTTGGAGAGGTCTTATCAGTCACAAATTATTTAACTGAGGTTTAGGGTAAACAACTTACACAAAGACACATAGCAACTCAAGTAGCAGAGCTAAGGATTACAGTCAATGACTTAGAAAGCCAAAGCACTTTTGCTTGTAGATGAAGGACTCTTGGCCAGCCAGTATAGCGCTTTAGTAACCTGTGTGTTCTGTGACGCTGGAAGCCATGTGGCCTACTGCAGGTAAGATGGATGAGGGGAATACAGAGAACTTTCTATACTGTATAAAAATTTAAAAAATACTTTAAAAAATTTATCTTGCAATAGACTGAGAGCTCAGTAAGAAATATGCCTTAGGTTTGGCCCTATGACTAGTGGTTATGGGAGCCAACAGTGTCCCACATAGCCAACAGTGGTTCAAGTCCTGGCCTCACCAGCTTGAAAAACATGTGGGGCATGTGTGTCAGTGTTCCCCAAATCCCAGCAGGGCATGTGTGTCAGTGTTCCCCAAATCCCAGCAGAAGAGAGAAACAGAAGACAAGGGACTGTGGCAAAACCATACCTCACTGGGATTGCTTTCTCCCTTTCCTTCTCTGTCTCTGTGTCTCTCTCTGGGAAGCACACACGCCCTTCGGCAATTTAAATATATATTATATATGTAATATTTATTTATATATAGCTTTAATAGCCTTCAAGTAAGTGGATCATCTATTTCCAAAATCACTTATATAGAGAAAGAAAATTCATGGACTCTCTTGGCATTTTCTTCTATAATCTTTTAAGCTTCATATGAGGAAATGCATTTCAAAAGCTAAATTAAATCCTTCCTATTTCAATTGAAATCTATTTCTCATTCATTCAACATTTTTGTCTCTTCTGCTTCATAAATAGCAGCTGTTCATCATCACTTATGCAGTGTGTAGTCAGATGCTTGCAGATCTAGTTTTCTATGAACAGAACATCATATGGCTTCTTTGAACATTTTAAAATCAGGAAGAATTTACTGAATGCCATTTATGTGCAAAGCAGTATGATAATTTCAAGAGGGTGGGAAAGCAATAAAAGGGAAAATAAGACGCAGTTCCTACTTTCAGAAAACCTAATATTCATCCAGCATTAAAAAATATCTCATGCATTTGATAAATATTCACTGAGTACTCACTACATGCCAGGCAATGTTCTGAATGCTGAGGAGACTTGATAATAAGCAAAACCAGATAGGTTCCTGCAGTCATAGAGTTTATTGTCTAGTTGGAGAAACAAATTTTAACCAAATAATCACCAAACAAATGTAAAACTACAACTGTGGTACGTGATATGAAGGGGAACTACAAGGTCAGGGCTGCTGCTAGCACGTGTATCTTTATGTAATTTTTGAAAAGGCACTGCCATAGACAAAAAGTCTATGTAGAAGAGTCAGCATGTGACATGGTGGTTAAGTGCACTGGACTCCCACATAGTGTACTGTGATTCTAGTCCCAAACCTGGCGGCTTGCTTTCTCACTTTCCCTCTCTCTCTCACTCTGTCCCTCTCTTGTCAAATTAAAAAATAAGAGCTAGGAACCATCAGTTAGCGTAATGGCTATGTCGCTGGACTCCCATGTAGTCGACCGCGGTTCGCGTCCCAGACCTGGTGGCTTAAAACTGACACCGGGCGCGTGTGCATGCGTGCCCAAGATCCCGAGAGGAGAACGGAGGAGAAGGGATTGCCGCATGACCATCCCCCCTGGGGGGTGATTTCTCGCTTTCTGTCTCTATGTCTCTCTCTGTCGGACG